AGAGGTAACTTCGTTTGGTTTGGTTTAATTTTTACCTTGGTGAAATGTTGGTGTTTTTATATTATCACAGAACCTCTGACAATGTCGTTCATGGTTTATCTAGTCAAGTTCGGGTGTTTTAACAGCTGTGCTAGGAAGGAGAGTGGCCTCCCACCTATTCCAGTTGAGAGCTTGGCCCTCACCTGAGGCTCTGTCTTGGAGACTTGTGGAAGCAGGGGCTGATTTCCAAGCTATTTATTCATTTGCTCTTTGCAGTAGGACCCTCAGCGAATTCCTACCACTGGAGAAATGAGAGCTATCGGCCCAACCCCTGGCCCACCTCTCACCGAACCAGCCCCCAGTGGGCTCTTCTGCAGTTTTTTAGCCCAGGCCTGCCTGATTTTCCAGATCCCAGCAAGCCCTCCAGGCCTGTCTTCCTTTGCCCCAGGCTGAATTCCTCCCTGACCCTTACCCCTTACATCTTTTTACCTCCCTGTACCCTCTCCCTCTGCCTTCCAATCCAGAATTCCCTCTACCTTTCTTGAGAGTCCTCCCCAGATTCCTCTGTGCTACACACCCACAGGCCCTTTTCCAGCTGGGTGCAGTGTCTCTTGTTTGGGCTCCAGCTAACCTTTGGGTGCCTCTCTACCTCCTCACACCTTGTACTATTTGGTTCCCTTTCTGTAGCTTCTGAACCCTTTTCTCAAGCAGTTTTCCTAGATGCCATGTTTCTCCAAAGGTGCCCACAAGACTTTATTTTATTTATTTGAGAGAGAGAGAGAGAGAGAGAGAGAGAGGGCGTGTGAGTGGGGTAGAAGGGCAGAGGAAGTCAGAGAATCCTAAGCAGGCTCCACACTCAGCGCAGAGCCCTATGCGGAGCTCCAACCCACAACCCAGGGATCATGACCCCAGCGGGGACATCAAGAGTCCTACACTCAACCAACTGAGCCACCCAGGTGCCCCCCACCCACCCCCACCCCCGCCAGGCACAAGACGGTTTAAATGATTGCTCAGAGAACCGAAGACCGTTGAACCTTTTTAAGATAGCAGTGGGCAGGGGAAGTTTTGGGGCAGGAGTTGGATAGTCAAGGCCTGAGAAATAAAGATAAGAGGGTGTATCACTCCCCCAGGAAACAAAAGAGAAGGTGGATGGAGGAGGGGGCAGTGGCTGTGGGCAGCATTAGAATGATGTTACCCCATCTGGTCAACAGAGCGGGAGCACGCACACTCCTGCCTTGACTGGACCAGGAGATTTTGATCACTACCTTTCTGCCCCATCCCCCAGTGCCCAGGGCAGACATGGCCACACCCACAGTGCCCCAAGCTGCCTGCCCTGATGTGACTCACTTCCTCTATATGGGCTGGTGAGGTGTCCTGAGGCAGAGGACACCAGGCCTTCAGCCTGGGATTTAAGTATCTGGGCAGGCTTCTAGGAAAGAAGAGACATGGACTCCAGTCGAAGAAAGTCAACCTGACCCAGGTCAGACTGGCTTGTGCAACACAGAAGCCTATTTGGGTAAAGGAGTAGAGCTTGGCCACCATGTAAGCAGAGGAATTCAGGTGCCAGGAGTTCTGGGGAGAAAAGGTTTCATAACAAGAGGAAAAATAACCAGGAGGAATTTCTATGTGTTCTGAAATTATGCAATGCAAGGATTTTGCAGAAAAGCAATATGGAGTTGGAGTTGAACCAATATTCATGAGTCAACAGCTGAGTCTCTATATATTACTGCTTATCCCCTATATATTCCACTAAGAGGGGCCCCAAATTAGCCATGCCCTCATCTAAGTGATGAAGAAAACACAGGAGAAGTTGGGAGACCTGGATCTTGTTCCAAGCCATGGCCCTTGGGAAGTCACTCCACCTCCTGAATCAGTAACAAGAGGGGGGTAGGCTAATCACCTCCAACAACCCCTCCTCTCTGAAATTCTAAAAGTTGAGAGCATGGGGGTGAAAAGTGGTTAGTAAATCTAAAAACAACCTCGGTCTGACCCTGGAATTGAACAAAACAAAACGCCAGGACCAAAGGAGTGAGATTCCAGCAAGTTTCAGTGGAGCAGTTGTAAATGCATTTCACACACTCCCTCCTTGAACTTCTGGGCCACGAGGACTACTCTTCCACCATGCGGCTCGGGTTTGGCCTGCATTCTTCAAATATGGGGTTCAGCCTTGCTCATCTGCCAGGAATCCCTTGCAGAATTTTGGACTGGGGAAACAAAAGCCCTCTCTCTCCCTTCATCTTCCTCTAAGCCTACTTGGAACATGTGCCCAGAAGAGACACATGGGCAGAGAAGGGTAGAGAAGGTCAAAGACATGGGACCAGAGCTGCAAAGCCACTGTATGGCGGTAACCCACTCTAGGAAGTCTCCTGCAAGTGTCTTGAGGTCTCAGAGTGTGCAGGGGTGGGGGTGGGGGGGTGCCGGTGTCTGCTGGAGGCTCTTCTTTTGATCCTGCCTGCCCACCAAGTCCACCTAGGAACCTGGTGTCCTCCAGAGACTCCACTTCCCAACAAGTGAGCAAACGGAGCCCCTGGAGATCTGTGGGCGGAGCCAGTGCCTTGGAGACCTCTAGTGGCCACTAGGGGGCTCCCGGCTCCCGGTGGCTTCTAATGCCCTCCTGTGGCCAGATTGAAGATTGGCAAGATAGAAGTTGCAGAAGAGAGCCAAGACTGGACTCCTAAGGGAGACAAGTTAACAAAAAACAGTTACCATTATAAAATAACATTATAGCAATATTTATTGTTTTTTTAAATGTTTATTTATTTTTGAGAGAGAGAGAAGCACAGAGTGTGAGCAGGGGAGGGGCAGAGAGAAAGGGCGACACAGAATCTGAAGCAGGCTCCAGGCTCTGAGCACAGAGCGTGAGGTGGGGCTCGAACCCACAAGCTGTGAGATCATGACCTGAACCGAAGTCGGACACCCAACCGACTGAGCCACCCAGGCGCCCCTCAATATTTATTGTTATGTATTGGTTAACATTTTGACATGTGTACCTACTGCTTTGTGCAGCAGCCCTCTTCTAAAGTGCTCTACATGTATTTATTTAATTCTCACAATAGCTTATAATATAAACACTATTATTACCTCTTGTTTCAACAATGAGGAAACCAAGCACAGAAGGGTTGAAATAATTGCCCAGGTCACACAGCAGACTGGAATTCTAGTCTAAGAAGTCTGTCTTGGGGCGTCTCAGTGGCTCAGTCGGTTGAGTATTAGATTTTGGCTCAGGTCATGATCTCACTGTTTGTAGCTTGGAGCCCCGTGCCTCACTCCCATTGCGCTCTGTGCTGACCGCTCAGATCCTGGAGGCTGCTTTGGATTCTGTGTCTCCCTCTCTCTGCCCCTTCCCCTCTCACTCTCTCTGTCTCTTGAAAATGAACAAATGTAATAAAACAAGTTAAAATTTAAAAAATAGTAATAATAAAATAAAAAAATAAATAAAATAAAATAAAAAAGAAAATGAACAAACGTCAAAAAAAAAAATCATCTTAAGAAGTCTGACTCCAGGACCTTTGCTTATAATCACCATGCTGAAACTGAGTCCAATTTTCCAGGTTTCCAAGGAATTACAGAATGCTCAGTTAAATCACAATTTCAGATAAACCACAAATAATTTGTTGACATAAGTATCTCCCATGAAACAGTTGGGTCAGACTTAATACCAACAAATTATTTGTTGTTTACCTGAAATTCTAATTTAACTGGGTATCCTGTATTTTTAGTAAGTCTGGCAGCCTTGTTTTACAAGGCATTTTTCTCTGCCAAATGACATCACACATATTACCTAATTTAATCCTCCCTGTAAGCCTATTCTCAGATGTCTAGGATGTCCCCTCCATACACTTCTCCCAATATTCCCATTTTTAAAAATGTTTTTAATGTGCCCAGCCCCTGCTTGACCTATCTAGGGAGGCAGGAAGGAAACAGCTCCTAGATAGACCCCAGGGAGCTGACTGGGAGTTAGTTTCCAGTGACTGCCTGCTCAGGAGCCCCTCAGGCTCCCCAAGGCTGTTTACCTGCTGTTCCCTGCACTGACAACTTTGACCCCAGCTGCCGGGGTTGCATCACTTACAGCTACAACATCTCTGGCAGCCAAAAGGCAACAGAAGCAATCTAAGACACAGGGACCCAGGGAGCCTCTCCCATCTCCCTGTTGCCTTTTGGGAGTATGATGCTCTTGTCCACAGGGAACACCCTTTGCATTTTTCTCTCTTGACTCTGCTGATCTGTTCCCCACCCTCTAATACCTGTGTTCTTCCTTCCCCACAGATATAAACAGTCCCCTGGCCCTTCCCAGTCAGGCTGGCTGGCTCTGATAAGGCAGTAGTAGTCAGGGACTTTGGGGGTTAGGAACCCCTCTGGGGTGCAGGCTGGGGTGCCCTGCTGGTATGTGCCCCAACAGGTTTTTCTCTATCAGCCTCAAAATCAGCCTAGAGCCTGTCTGACCTGTCCCCCCAGAGAGCTGGAGCCAGAGGCAGAGCCAGGTCAGAAGCTGGATTTAGAGACTAGGTTTTTACGGTCCCTCTTGGCCCCACAGGGAGAGCAAGGCACAAGGCCTCTTGTGTCTTCTCAACTGCTGAGAGGCTGAGAGGCTGAGCAGGCCTCCGTGGGCTGAGGCCGGGGCCCCTGGGAGGAAAGATGCTCTGTGGGGAGGGGTTTACACGGGGGACCAGGTACAGCTTGGTCCTCTCCCACATTTGGGAGGGGCCAGAGCTAGAGGCGACAGCTGAGCTGGGCTGCCAGGGAGGTCATCTGACTGGCTGCCCGGCCTGGGCTGACACGCCCCTTCTCCTCTAGCAGGCCACACAGAAGCTGGTGTCCACACAGGCAGCCGCCAGGCTGTGACGACTGCCACCTCGCCTCCAGCACCTCTGGGTAAGCACCGGAACCTGGGCCCTCGTGTTGAAGGAGGTGGGGAAATCTGGATGATCCCATGGGAGAGGGAGAAAGGAGTTTTCCTTTTCTAGTGTGGGTGCTTCCTCCCTTGTCTAGGCACCCAAGTGCCCGCAAGAACACATATATACATCAGCTCAGAGAGTGCACCTGCTTACCTAAAGATCCCTGCCAGAGACGCCAAGGGTGAAAGGCCAAAGGTGAAAGGCCGGTGGCAGGCAGGTAGGCTGGGGGGCAGGGAACAGGGGCTGACTTGTGGGTTGGGGCTGAAGGTGAGGAGGTGTTTTAGGAGTTGTTATCTCCCACCCCACATACTTAAACCTACCACCTTGCCTCACCTCCCCTGCGCCACCCCAGGAACACCTAGCCAGTCTACGGGAAGGAAGGGATGTGGCTCTCAGAAGGGGGTCATGCACCTGAGTCCAAAGTTTGGGAGCCATGGAGTCAGGGAGGGTTTGTTGAGGGCTAGCTCTAGCAGCATTCCTGACCAGTCCTTGCTTCCTGAAGGAGGGGTGAGAGCTGGGAAAGAAGGGGGCTCCCCTCCTACCCTTCCACTTGTGCTCTCAAAGCTGCCAAGCAAGTCGATACTCTCTTTTTCTGCAAAGGGGGAAAGAAAGCATGGGAGGTGAGCCCCGGGGTCTGGGGGTCATAAAGAGGCCCAAAGGGCCAGGAGGCTCTCCTCAGTTGGCTCCCATTTCCCTCCCTGGCATAGCCAGTGACACCATGTCTGTGACCAGTGGGAAGACAAGACCATCCCTGACCCAGGAGATCCTCAGCCACCTGGGCCTTGCCAACAAGGTAGGGGCTGTAATGGTTGGAATCATTGTTGGTGTATCAACTGCAGGGCGATGAGAGGATGGGGGACAGGAAAAGGGAGAGCAGGCCCTGAGACCCTGCCAAGGGCTGGGTTAAGGCCCTGGGGTAAGCGTGCACAGACCTGCGATGCTCCCCCCAACCCCTCACCCCTCGTGCTCTTACAGACTGCAGCGTGGGGGACCCTGGGCACCCTCAGGACATTCTTGAGCTTCAGCGTGGACAAGGATGTGCAGAGGCTGCTGAGGGCAATTGCAAGCCAAGGTGAGCCCTTCTCCCTCTGCACCTGGGGCTCTTCCCTACAGGAACCAGTCTGCAGACCAAGAAGGAGCCAGGAAGGAGGAAGTGATGTTGTTCAATAAACGTTTGTGGAATGCCTTAATTCTTGTCCATCAAGTACCGTGGTGGGTGTGTGGTTCCTATTCTCAGGACACTGCCATGAGGTAAGGCTTATTTCCATTTTACAGATGAAGAAACAGTGAGACAAAGGGGCTGGCCCGAGGTCACATGGCTCACGAAGGCAGGGCCGGGCCGGGACTCTAATCCAAGTCTGTGATCCCCAGAGCCATCTCTCCCCCAGCATACCAGGCCACCTACACTTAATTCGGGGCCAGGCTCGCATGCCATTTTGGCATCTTATTCGCATCTTCTCGAGGCCAAATGGAAGTTGGGGTGACGCAGCCCCTGCCCCTGTCTTTCATGGCCCTTTCCTAGATCTCCATCTCTCCTCCTCTGGAGGCTTCCAGCGTGAGGAGGAAGGGGATCCCCCCCCCCCACCGCAAAGACTCAGCTGGGTTGTGACCAGCTGATGGCCTAGCCCTCACCTCTGTTCAGGTGTGGACCGCAGCGCCATTGTGGGCGTGCTGACCAATCGGAGTAGGGAACAAAGACAGCTCATCTCTCGAGCCTTCCAGGAGCGCACCCAACAGGTGAGGCCACTGACTTCCCAGGAGCAGTGGACTGGGGTGAGAGGCCCCCCCGAAATCTTGGGGTGCAGCAGTACCAGCTGGAGGGGGGGTGGCTGGTGCTTCTGGCCTTAGATAAAAGCCAGCCAGATATTCCAAATGTCCCCCGCGCCTCAGGGACCTCCCCCTCATATCTTCTCCTCTGCCATGGGGCCATTTATCACAGGACCTGGTGAAGTCCTTGCAGGCAGCACTCTCTGGCAACCTCGAGAGGATGGTGATGGCTTTGCTGCAGCCTGCAGCCCATTTCGATGCCCAGGAATTGAGGACAGCTCTGAAGGTACCAGAAGAGGCTCTCTGGGTTTCTAGGAAATGAGGACACCATTGAAGGGAGGAAAGGGTTCACTGCGTGGCCTTTGCCCACTCCAGAGGTGTCCACTTGGCAGAGGCCCCCTTTAAACAACCCATATTGACCCTTAGAAGGACAAGGGGTCATCCTCTGCTCTCTGCCATACTGCTGACATGGCCCAGTCTCAGAGTGGCCTCCCAATTTCCCACAGAACCCAGGTTCCACTGAGGATGTGGCTGTGGAAATTCTTGCTACCCGAAGCCCACCCCAGCTGCAAGAGTGCCTGACAGTCTACAAACATAGTAAGAGCACGTAAGGAACATGGAGTGGGGGTGGGGTGGGTGACAGCTTAGGTGAGCCCTCTTGGAACCTGTCTGCCTCAGAGCTTTTCCCTTGGGGTCTCTCCCCCCACCCACCCTTACCGGCTCTCAGTCTCCCCAGGGTAAGAGCCAGATGTGATCATTAAAGAAAGAGAAGCAGTGATTAACCATCTTAGTCTGGGGCCCCAGGGCGGATCCCAAGGTAATGACAATGTTGGGCGCTATGACAGCCCCAAGGGTGCCCATGTCATCTTCTCAACCCCTTCCTGATTCTGCCATCATATCACATCCCAGACTGAATGGAACCTTGCTACAGCTGAGGTGGGGGGGGGGGGGGTACTTCTCCCTAAGTCATGAGTGTTACCCCTCAGGCCCTTGCTTGGCTGCCACATGGCTTACCCACTAATTGCTGACTGGCCTTTTCTCACCATCTTAGCAAGCCCCCCCCTTTTTCTTGCTTTCCCCAATTTTCCTTTGATGTCCATTCTTGGCCTGTCTTAATCCCTCTCCTACCTCTTTCACTTCTTGCTTCTTTCTTTTCCCCGTCTCTTTTGTCTTTCACGTCTTCACATCTTTCCTCCCGGATCACTTCTCTGTGCCGCCAGTGAGAGGACCGGGCCCTAGCCATCTGGCCTCATAATGTAGGTTTCCCTATCCCCCTTGACTACCCGGCTACTACTTGAATCACAGACACCTCCTGCCCAGGGCAGGTTGGCTCCTGGAGATAAGGCTACTCCACTAAGTAGGGCATGGGTTACTCACAGTTTAGGGATGTTTTCAGGGTACCCACGATGGTGCTTCTGCCTTACATCCTGGGAACTACCGGCCGTCAAGCTACCCCAAGCAGGGGCTGGCAGTAGGCACAGTGGGTTGGGCATTTGACAGAATATCTACACTGGAAAAAATTGGGAGGATTCAGAGAGCTCCTGACCCTACCCCAGATTTCCAGTTGGAGGTGGAGAAGGACATCAAATCTGAGACCAGTGGCATCTTGCGGGACCTGCTCCTGGCCCTGGCTAAGGTGAGGGGGACTGGCCTGCAGAGGAGGGAGTTATACTGCCAGGGAAGGGGCTGGGGTGGGGTGGGGAGCATTGCAATGGTATAATTAAGGAGAGAAGGCTTTGGGAGGAGAACAGGCTGGGGTCAGTTTGCCTGGAGATAAAAAGCTACCCCTCAAAGAGTCCTCCTGAGAGAGTTTCTCATAGGGGGCCCGTGAGAGCTATTCTGGAATCATTGACTACAACCTGGTGGAGGACGATGTCCAGGTGAGCAGGGGTGAAGAGTCTGCACAGCCACGCACGTAAGACACCCTCCCCCACCATATCCTAGAGCCAGTGACCTATGTACCCACTTGTCCTGCAGACCTCTCCTTGCCTGGGGGAAGGAGTCCTTAGTGACATGTGAGGACATGACCTGTTGGGTAGTAACCATCTGAAGCCTTTTCACTCCTTTAGCTTCTGACTCCTGAACTCCCAGGAAGTGAGCCCGTCACGGATGACCGTTCTCTTGGGCATTTGGGTGGGGGAACCCTCCTCACACCTTTCCTTGTAGATCATTGAATTCCTTGAGTGCCAGGATTTCCCCAAATTGGGGAACTGAGCTGTCAGGGCAGAGCCTCTGTCTTAGCCCTATTCCTTTTTGTTTGCTTGTTTTAACCATAAATAAAAGCAACTACTTTACACTTTCAAATAAGCATTTCTACTCTGAATCCTGTTCCCATCATCATGATGATGGATTCTGGGAACATCACAACCGTGGCTCCCCAGCCCCCAAACAAGGATCCTGATTTACTCCTCCCTCCCAGGCATTAAAGCAGGCTGAAGGGCCCGGCACAGAGGGCACATGGGTCATAATATTCACGCAGAGAAATCCTGAACATCTTGTCCGAGGTACACACGGGACGTCTGGTCCTCCCAGCTTACTCTAATGATGAGCTTTGGCTGAGGAAGGTGGGGAGGGCTCATCCTTCTCTGTGATAATCACCCCCTGCTCTCATTTATCTTTCTGACTACTTCCCACACACACCACAAGTGTTCGATCAGTACCAGCGGTGCAGTGGGCACGAGCTAGAGAAGACCATCCAGAACATTTTCCACGGAGATGACCAGGCGGCTCTGCTCAGCCTAGGTAGGACCTGCTCAGGACATGTGGGGTAGGGTGCTCACCTGGCATGGGGAGCCATCTCCCCACTGTTCTCTCCTTGCTTGCAGTCTCCGTGATCAAGAACACACCGCTGTACTTTGCTGATAAACTCCATCAAGCCCTCCAGGTGAGACGGACACTTCTTTTCCCTCCCTTTAGAACAAAAACCGGGGTGGGGTGGCAGGGAGGACAACTTCTGGGCAACAGAGAGGAAGTTTCACGCTTTTGCTAATGTAACAATCTCATATTTGTTTTATAATCATAAAGCCGCTCTCTTTTCCTAGGTTTACTAACTGTCTTGTCAATAGCAGAGGATTGAGCTGTGGTTAGAGCTAAATTAGTCGAAGCAAAAGAGCACTAAGGCTAAAATTTTGGCCTAATTGGGTGTTAGATGGCCAAACATAGATATAAATTTGCTCTATAAGACAGCATCTTGTCCAATTTCAGTGGTGGCCAGAATAATGATGGTGATAATGCTAGCAAGAATGGTGACAAGAGCCAGCATTTCTTGGGTGCTCATTGTGTCCCAGGGCCTATGCTGAGCTTGTGACACACATTTCAATTAATCTTCATGGCCACATTCCATCCCTGTTTTTTTGTTTTTTTTTTAATTTTTTTTTTCAACGTTTTTTATTTATTTTTGGGACAGAGAGAGACAGAGCATGAACGGGGAGGGGCAGAGAGAGAGGGAGACACAGCATCAGAAACAGGCTCCAGACTCCGAGCCATCAGCCCAGAGCCTGACGCGGGGCTCGAACTCACGGACCGCGAGATCGTGACCTGGCTGAAGTCGGACGCTTAACCGACTGCGCCACCCAGGCGCCCCTCCATCCCTGTTTTATAGATGAAAAAATTGAGGTACAGAGAGGCTAAGTTCTTTGCCCAAGGTCACACAGCTAATAAATCATACAGGCTTCCTACAAAACACATATGTTAACACATAACACTGTATGTTAACTCTACTGGAATTTAAACACAATTAAACACACATGCACACACACAATGGTCCCAGAGGACATTTAACTGCCATGTGTCAAATCATAGTCTATACCATAGGTGTTGGTATATACTATAAGCTATACCATAAGAGTTCTTAGCATCCAGGACCACCTTTTCCACTCTGGTCGGACTTTGTTCCATATTATCCACACTTAAGTTGGTGATGTTGGTTTGAGTAATTTAATAAACAGAATCCAATCATTCTACTCACTGAGCTAGGTCTCCTATTAGTATAAATGTCCCCTGAAACCTATAAATAAAAAAACTCACCCCAATTCTTAAGAAGATAAAAGCAGTTATCATTTTGGTAGATGGCATAGCTTCATGAGGACTGTTTGAGAAACCATCATGCCTTATTGACAGCTATTCAAAAGACAGTACGTATATGCCCTTATTTTATCATCAATGGAGATTTCCATTGTATTTATCCCATGAAGTCTGTACTATTGTATTGAGCCAACACTAAGACCGATTTGAAGAGTTGTGGTTATCTGTCTAAATTCTTGTTATAAAAACAAATTTGAATCCTAGCAGTAAATGATTGTAATGTATTTAGACTATAGGACCCATACTCTTGGATGTAAATGCCAGGTTGACCCTTAGAAGTAGAAGTCAAAAAATAATATAGGCCTGTTTTTCTGAAAACTTTTTTATTTATTTTTTTTTTTATTTTAAGTTTATTTATTTATTTTGATAGAGAAAGTACAAGTCGGGGAGGGGCAGAGAGAGGGAGAGAGAGAATCCCAAGCAAGCTCTGCACTGTCAGCGTGGAGCTTGATGCGGGGCTCGAATCCACGAATCGTGAGATCATGACCTGTGCTGAAGTCAGATGCCTAACCAACTGAGCCACCCAGGTGCCCTGAAAACTTTTTTTAAAAAGGAAAAACTCGGGGCGCCTGGGTGGCGCAGTCGGTTAAGCGTCCGACTTCAGCCAGGTCATGATCTCGCGGTCCGTGAGTTCGAGCCCCGCGTCGGGCTCTGGGCTGATGGCTCAGAGCCTGGAGCCTGTTTCCGATTCTGTGTCTCCCTCTCTCTCTGCCCCTCGCCCGTTCATGCTCTGTCTCTCTCTGTCCCAAAAATAAATAAACGTTGAAAAAAAAATTTAAAAAAAAAAAAAAAGGAAAAACTCAATCAGATGCTTCTATCTTATTCTCTTATGAGAAATATATGAAAACATAGATTGTGACAAATATTTATTCAGAGAAGTGACCTTCAGTGAAGGCTGATTCAGGAAAATTTGGACCAATATGAACCATACAATGAATTTTCATTAAAAGATCCTAGAGAGGGGGCAGGCACCTTGGTGGCTCAGTCGGTTAAGCGTCTGACTTCAGCTCAGGTGATGATCTCATGTTTTGTGGGCTCAAGCCCACCGTTGGGCTCTGTGCTGACAGATGGGAGTCTGGATCCTGCTTCCGATTCTGTGTTCCCTCTCTCTGCCCCTCCCCTGCTCCTGCTCTGTCTCTCAAAAATAAATAAATCAACATTAAAAAGAAAAGAAAAAACACAATCCTTTATCATAATACAAAATTGGTGATATATGAAATTTAAGATAAAGTAGCTACTAGGCACACTGACAATGAGATCATGAGTCCAGATGAAATATGGCATCCTGTTGTTACTTCCTCATTTTCCTTTCTATTTTTTTCATGGGAACTTATGATCTGTGTTGATGCCATAAGTATGGGTGTCAGGCAGTTCTGGGAAGGGTCTTATGAGTCAAGCAACAGGAAACTCTGGGAAAGGGGCTCATAGGAAATAGTGACCGCACCAGTGCACATTTTTTATTTAGAAATCTGTCATGGTTACACATTTATTATAATCAGTTATAATTCAATTTGATACTGTATTGTACCTCTGTTATTTCTAAACAGAATCCTCCATTACCTTCTTTAACCAAAAGGCAGGAGGCTTGGTACAGGTTTAGGAGGAAGAGAGTGATGCTGAACCCCAGGGGTCCAACCAGGAGAAACTGGTAGATACAGATGAGGATGTGAGGTGGGAGGTCAGGATTCAAACCGGAAGGCACATGACCCTGCTCCCTATCAGAACCCCATCAATTCAGTTTGGGGATAGGCTGGGTATATGCTCCTTGGACATTCACTAAATTGGAAGTTATAAAGTTCCTGGCTTTCATGCTGTAAGTCTTTATAGATAGCAAGTCTTTCCTATCCTTTTTATATTTTTATATTTTTCATTTTTCCAAGTCTGGGTTTATTTCAAAATTATAAAGATTTATATGTTATTTTTTATTACATATAATAGCACATATAATACAATTATATGGATTTTATTACTTTATATGTATTTTGTTACATAAAATACAAATACTTATTACATATAATAAGCAATTTTTAGCTTAAAGTAAAAACTTTCACATTTAAAGTTTAAAAAAAAGATATTGGGAAAAAATTAGAAAAAAAAGGGGGGTTGGGCGCCTGGGTGGCTCAGTTGGTTAAGTGTCTGACTTTAGCTCAGGTCACCATCTCATGGCTTGTGAGTTCAAGCCCCACATCGGGCTCT